CTAGACATATATTTCATGTGGGCATGTTCAAACTTAATGTACATTTTGCATAATAACAGCAGAATGCTGGATATTTGAGATGGAGACAGCCACCTTATTAGATCAGTACAACAGTCTTGTATCTACTTTGATTTCTCAATAGTTGAAAGCCCATGAAATGTGGATGCTTTATGCCCCAACCTCAGAAAAAAGAATGCCATAACTTTTTCTTCCTCAGACAATAAGCATAAGAAGGCTGAAATTTTTTAACTTAAAAAAAACCCCTAAAAAAATGATGGTATTAATTAGATAGGAGCAAAATCGTCCTTATGTTACACCTTTAATAGTCAACAATACTAAATTGTGCATGAACATTCGTTCCTTAAAGAACAATCCAATCCCTTCATGAGATTCATAATAGTGAGTTCATTTTGTCCCAAACACGCAGAAAATGAATGAAACTTAACTGCTCATAAACACGTGCAACATTTGAAAAAAAAGAAAACTGCAAATGAGTCCTATATCCATAAAGACACATTACACACATGGAAATGAGCATACATTTAGAGTAGGGACTAATATTTGTAAGCTTAATACAATACAAGGAGACGATAGACAACCTGGAATTCGAGCCAGCACAAGGATCATTCTGCTCATGCTTTAACAAGAACCCGTTTGTTTTACTAGATAATCCTGCTAATTTACCAACAACGTTGTTAAGAAACTGATTGGAACAATAATGAACAAATGTTCCTAAAACCAAATAAGGACCTGATTGTATTGGGAAAGAAGACAAGAAAAGAAAATGAAAAGATAGTACACTTCTTTCCCCAATGGGTATTAAAAATAATAAATAATTTAGGTTTATTATCAGTTCAAAAATATCAAACACTTACCAATTGCAGATAAATCAGCACAGGGATTGGGCAGAGCAGATGGTAAAGATCGCTTCTGATTCCTAAGAGAAAACAATCTATAAACAGAATTGAAATTATCAAAGTAACAATAAATAAGTGCAGCTTTGAGTATCAGTGTGTGTGTCTCTGTATTGTGAATTTGAGGATACCCGTCAAGGGATGACGCAGCTAAATACGGCGTCGTTCTCGGTGGATAAGAGACTCTGGGTGAACAAAACGGACCTGCAATTGTTGAAGCCACCATTTTTCTGATTATGCTCTCGCAGTCTGTGTCTATGCAGGAACGAGAAGCAGCAGAGGAGACGGGGCTGCGTACCAGGCAGCCTCGACAAGGTTTGAAAGGGGATAAGAAGTAATCAAACTAAGAACTGGGCATCTTCGCAAATAAACGAAAGGTAAAGGACTCATGACGATAATTAGTGTCAACCATCGCCAATAAAACATTTAAAATCTGTTAATCGAATGAAACCATGTAATTAGTTGGTGAGTATTTGAAATTTTATTAGGCTTATAAATTGGAGTGTATGTTTAATAAGGTTTTTTTTTCCTAAAGAAAAGAGGTTATTGGTAATTTTTGAAAATTTTATTTTAGTTATAAAGGTGAGAGAAACTACTTAAATGTGAGGGTCAAGAAAAGATGAGATGGTTGTAAAATAAGATTAGTAAGTAATTGAACATGATGAGAAGACTTAGATATGTATAGCGGTAAGAGTCATATAACTTTTAAAAAAACCTAGAGAGTATGGAATATAGCATTACTATTCTTTTTTTTTGTAATAAAAATATTTGAGTAATGTAATTAAGAAAGAGTAAATCTTTTTTATACTGAGTGTGTATACACTATTATAGTTGAATGTATGACACATATGTAAAATTTGGATTTTAAATTCAAATTTAAATTATGTGTCATGCAATAGTAAAAATGTATACACTTTCAATGTATAGAAAGTTAATCCATTAAGAAAACTACAGAAGCCAATATTTTCTCTAAAAGCCACATTTATTGAAAAAAAGAAACCACATATAAAATCCTATCAAAGTATTGTGCCTATTGCCTTCTTTTTCTTCTTCTTTTTTTTTTTTTTATCGTTCGTCACTATTTTATCTATATCTTACTCTATCCTAATCTATCGGGAGGCTCAACTGGACCTATGAGGGACAGGTGGGGACTAAATCATCACCGGATCAAACGAATGCACTACGCACCCGTCTGAATTTTTTAAAAGAGTCACTTATTGTGGCAATTAGTGGGAGGCAAGATTTGAAACCTTGAACTCCCACCCCACTAAGGCCACCAGCCCATTGTTGTTGGAGAATTGAATCTCATACGGCTTCTTGACCGGCATCATCCTTCCAATTTGTACTGCGATAATACCAAGCATAGAGTGCAGGTCATCATCCTCCGAATTTGTACTGCCATAATACCAAGCATAGAGTGCAATTTGAACGGGTCCAGAAAGTGCTCCAATACCATTGGGAATCGCAACGTTGTAATCAAATTTGAGTGAAGCATAACATAACGCAAACAATACCATTGAGCAAATTAGCAAGCGATATGTACTTCACACTCGCCCAGTCTGGGTTCGGTCCGGTGGTTGTAGCCCAGTTGGGTGAGAGCTACCAACCAAGGATCGAATCTCAATCGTTAACATTGACCGATGATGTTGGGCAGCCTCTCGCGGTCACGCAGTGGGATTAGTTGGGGCGTACGGTAACCAGTCCTTGGCCCCAGATATCCACTGTGATGAAAAAAAAAAAAAAAAAGATATGTACTTCACACTCTTTTTTCTTGATCACATTTTTCATAATTGTCAACGGTGAAATTTAAATGCTAACATTCAAAAGCATGCAAATTACACCAACGAAGATAGACCTTTGCTTCTCGGCGTGCTAGACGTGCAAGAGTAACGCCAATTACGATGGCAGTTGCAATTGTTCCAGTCATGAGCAAATAAATGATCATTTGCCTTTCCCACCAATCAATCGGAGTGAACAAAGAATAATGTGAGAGGTAGATGGCCTCTATACCATTGATGGTCGAAACTAAGATGATTTGAGATTTTACTTATGAAAGACCATAAAATATCCACATTGCACAATTCAATAGAGTCACAATATAAGGGTTTGATCTGAATTCCGCAACTGATTTTGCTTTACATATTTTTACGAATGTTGGGACGGTCGAGAGAGAGGTCGAAAGATATAAACGTTTCCAATTATCCCAATAACAGTCCTCCTTATCGAATCGATGTTCACCATCTTTGATACCTTTCAAGTGTGCAAATGTGACGTTTTCAACTGGAATTTGATAAAAATCTGACCCTAAAAAGAGATATAGAGCAATTGAAGCTACGATAATTTAACCTTTGAAGATATGTGCAATTGCTATTTATAAAGATGTAAGGTTTTCCAATTCTCTATAAAAAAAAGGAAATTCCAATTCCAATATGAACGGTTGTCAATTACTGATATTTTCCATACATCATAATCATCTGACTCATAACTACAGTTTGACTCGTAAACCTAATCCGATTGTAATTTGTACATAACATGAATATAGGTATTTTCACTTGGCCTTTTAACCTTGGGATACGCAAATCTTTCTATCATGTGGCATGAGAAATTTCTAAAATTATGATGATTTTTAAAAAAATTCTACAAAGGGGGCATTTTTTGTATGAAATTCCGTCCAGGGAGTCTTCGCATTCAGCAAATGCGAGCTCAAGAAGCTCGCATTTGCTGAATGTGAGGTCTCCCTGAATTTTCCTAGCAACCAAATCAAAAAAAAAAAGAAAAAAAAAAGAAAAAGAAAATAGACCGCACATTTGTTAAATGCGAGGTCATATACCTCGCATTTAACAAATGCGAGGTTCTCGCCCAGGCAACTCAGCTTGCATTTAGCGAGCATTGTGACGTAAGAAGCCCCTGGTCCAGTGAGCGTGAGCAAGCTGCAATTTTACATAAAAAGGCTGCTCAAACAATTGACATAAGTTAGAAGCCGTGCGTGTTTCATCATGCTAGTGATGAAACTGGAGCCAAAATTCACTATTTACCATCTTCAAATTATTTTCAAGAACATGAATCTAGATTTTGCCATGATTTTTCTTTTTGCTTCAGTTCCAATGCAGGCCTTCCCTTGCTTTATGATTTCACTGCAAATTATAAAATGATTTACAATTTGCAATGAAAATCTCTACAAATTTTACTACCTAAGGCTGTAAATTCATCAAAATTGGAAAAAAAAAAAAGATCCCATAATATTGCCATTAATACTTGATAATAATTTGGGGCAATAAATCTTAACCGAACTAGTATGCTTTCGGCTTTATTGTATCTCACATCCGATAAAAGCGAATTCCTAAAAAATTATATTCAAATTTTTTTTTAATTAGGAGCACACAATCATTTTTGTTCCGCAACTCCATTTTATTGAGGTGAATATGGAAGTGTGAGAGCTAGCCGATCAATCAGAGTTTTTGATCGCCTTTTGATGGATGGTGGAAACCCGGTTTTTGCATTAACATTTATCATAGAGGAATAAATCCTTTTTATTTTAAAACTCACACGAGTTAGAAGTTAACAAATGTGAGGTCTCAGTACAAAATTTTATGTACTAGTAATTCTTTGTATATAAATAACCAAAAAGTTATATTTCTTATAGATTAAAAGATTTGATAATCATACGGTTGAAAACACCTAATTTTATTATTAAATAATTTTGTAAAGAAATAACTATACATGTATAGTTTTTTATGCAGTTGGAAACAAGCTTTGGCTTTGTGTTCAGATTGAGGTCCTCACATTTGCGAAATGATTATTTATCAAATGATTATTATGTGATTATTTATCTTATAGATTAAAAGATATACTTTCCTATAAATGCAAAAATTATAATCACATAATAATCATTTTCAAATTAAATGAGAAAAAATATTCCCAAACCACATATATTTATTTCACTAGGATATTTGAAAAACATTTTATTTGTTTATTGTAATTTATTATGATTAAATATATATATAAATTTTTTTTGGAAAAATTTTGACAAAATCTCCCTTTAAAAGTGGACTAAACTCCCTGCCAGCAAACCCAAAATAGACAACATTTAATCCAAGCAATATTTCCAACAACTTGTCAGCCAATAATCACAAACCACTGCAAAAGCACAAGTCTTTAGTGAATTAAAAAACAGAAAAAGTAAAATCAAGTTAAACATCCAACATTCCACAGATTAAAAACAAAATGCAAGCAAATCCATGTACAAATAATATAGTGATCCTAATGGTGCAGCTTCAATCGTCATCTTCATCTGCAGCTCCACCCTGAGGTGGAGTAATGCCTAAATGATCATCTTTACGTGCCAAGCGAGTGTCCATTCTCTGCAACTGGAAAAATAAATTAGAATTAGTAGCACAAGACTATGGTACAAATATTTTAGTTAATATTTTAGTAGTACAAGCAAATGTGATACATGCTTGTCTTGTATACATATTTTTAGTTAATATTTTAAGTTAATATTCCCTCTAACCCCCTATACATTATTACGCATCATGCCAAAATGTTATTCAAGAATTCCTAATTAAATTGAATATAAGTTTATTAAATACATGCTTATCTTGTTTTATTTAACGTTTCCAAGCACCCCCCTTTCGAGTCCATATTGTAGCCAATTTGTCTTATTATACTCTTAAGGCAATCACTAACCAAAAACACCCAAAAATATTTTAAAAAAATTTTGACAGAGTCTCCCCTGTAACTGGGCTAAAACTCCCTGCCAACCAACATAGGCACATCGATTTTCAAACAATTGAGAAATATGAGATAATTTAGACCACTACAAATACGGTAGAATAATGTGATATACAATAATTTCTTATAGAAGACAAGCAACTGTGATATTTTGACAAACCTACAATAATAATATAATGTATATAGTAGAATGTGAAACAACAATAATTTCTTATACTCCCCTGTCCTCCTTGAAACATGCAATTAAAAAATATACTACAGTAGAGGGTCTCACTTTACATTCATGAATTCACCATAAAACGAATCCAAGCAAAGTTCAAAAAATTAGAACATTAATATGACTACAATTAAATCTACTTGTAAACTACATGACTTACCCAATGATTTGCCTCAGATTCTGAAGATGCACTTGTGCGGACTTGATCCTAGTGGTACCAATCAAAGCCTCTTCAAGTCTCCTGGCTTGTGTCGAAAACTTTGTATGCACCTATATGAATATGATGGAGATCACAGAAAACCAAGATAAGGTACAGAGGATCTGGGGTGCAATGAGGGATTTGTTCAGATGAACCACCTCGTTCCCGCAGATCTTGCTTGTTCTGATATACCTTTTTGGATCTGTTCCCCCAATTTCAAAGAAAATATGCGTTGGTAAACTAAATAACATAGGTATAGAAAACATACATATAGAAAATAAAAATAGTTCCACAAAGGGGGTTACTTTGGTGTCCTATTCCGACAAGGGAGGTGTTCGCATTCTATAAATGCGATCTGTGCTAAGTTCGTATTTCTCATATGCGAGTCTAACAGATTATGCTCTTTACCAATTCCTTCACACATATTAACAACTTAAGAGTTTATATTTATCTCATTATTTGTTCATCCTTTGTAAAACTCTTTTTCCTTTCTCTTGATGCCAAGGAGTAAATCATGATGATTACCTTTTCTTGTTTTTATCTTTTTTTCAACAATTCTATAAAATGCAGATGTAAAAACAAAAACAACCAACCATAATGTTTTCACAAAAATAAAATAACAAACAAAAATAAAGAAAGGTGAGACCTCACATTCACATTTTTTGTTTTTTAAAAAGAATTGTACATGAGTTGTTCTCTTAACAAAATGGAGTTTGTTTTTAAGAACAATAGAGTTAAAAATAATAATATCCTCCATGAAGAAAAATTTGAACGCTAAAATTTCTTATATGAAAGCTTGGTATGATAGAAGAAGAGCTATTGAGCTTGTTTATGGCATTTCGGGTGCCAATTTTGTTGAATTACTCAAGTATGTGGAAGCATTTGTCCAATTAAGTAATATTAGTCTATACTTAAAACACCCTTGTTGCAGAAATTTTTTTAAATTCGTCATCAAATTGGAAATTTCTCAAACACAACTTACACATCAATATAAATAATTACAAAAATATTAATAGAAGATTGTGAAATTTATAAAATTTATAAGAGGTTCATCCTCATAAAATTTATAATTAATGGTATCTTACAATTGGAAGCAACATAAAATATCTCAGGGTCAATACCAGAATGATTTGAAGGGCCTGATATTTGACAACCAGACCCCGGACATGCCCGTGCAGCATCCATTATGCAAAAATCCACTAACAAATCATATTGCCAACATGGAATTATTTTGGTGGTCAGTTCTGTATGATTTCTTAGGTCAACTTCATAGACTCAAAGGGCTAACTTCGTTGATGTTCAATGAATTGAAGACTAAATGCAGATTTACAAGAAGACACCATCATAGAAGACTAAGCATGGCAAGCAAACAAGAGACCAACCGAAACAACAACAATGACCAATAAATTGCCAAATCAGAAAAGCCACTTCAATTCGGAAAACAAAAAAATGCTTCAACAATGCTTGTAGCTACCAGGCAGGTGCCAGGACGGCAGCTAATACTTCTTCTTCATTTACTCCTGAAAATTGACCCAGTTTTTTTAATTTTAAACAGTTTACCTCTTTACTATTTCTATGACTGCGACTTCCACACATTCTTCAAATGTTTTTCTCTCTCTCTTTCTTGAGTGAGTGATTAATTGTCATCTGATAATTAATTGGCTATCATTCTCAGTGGTTTTCTTTTTGCATTTACGTTTACTCTGGCTCTGGGGTGCAGTGGGTCGTTTGACCCAAGGGTTTCCCCTCCAAGAAGATATTTCCTCAGACTCACCAGAAAAAATGGAAAAAGCAGCACAACCCACATGATATTTGCATCCAAATTTGACATCAAATATGAATTTTACGTCGGATTAAAGTATTAAATAAATATAAAATGCATAAAAATCACAAAAGTTCATACCTTTTATGCTGTTTGTGCGCTACAAAGCACAGCCACGAATTTGAAAGCCATTTGCGAAGGGAAAAGAAAATGTGCAGCGCAATGGGTCACAAAATTGGTTGGGGATGACTGCTGAGGCAGAAATGGCAGCTGGCTGGCGTGCAAATGGCGTCTGGTGGAAGCTCAGATATCTGGTGGAAGGTCAACAATGGCGGACAACAACCGACGAGAAAGAGAGAGAGTGAAGGATTTCGGGCAATTTCCTCTTGGAAGCTTGGACTGGTGTCTAGCTAAGCAAAGACAAGAGAGAGTGAGCTGGATGTGCAAAGTTTCGTTCCAATTTCTGCCGCTCTGCTCACCGATTTGAATGCCGAATGTTTGATGTAAAGAACGGAGCTCTGTTTTTGGGTTTAGGTGAAAGAGACAAAGTAATGCCAGGACCCCTTTTTTTTTTTTTTTTTTTTTGAATTTCAGTTGTTGGAAAATTCAAGGAGAGTTCGCATTTGACAAATGCGAACACCCTTTTTACAGAATCTCGTATACAAAATGTCTTCTTTATAGAATTTTTTTAAAAATCATCATAATATTAGAAATTTCTGCATGTGGCATAACATTGCTGTTCAACGCACCTTCATATAAAGATCAAATTTGAGATAAAAAAAAAAAATGATGATAGATTTGTCTAACACCAAACCGTGATTCAGATTTCAGACTAACAACAACATAAAAAGTAAAGGCAAAAATAAAAAAGCACAAGTGACTTTCAAATTACTAGAGTACCATTCATAAATCGCCTCTTTCAAATTACTAAGAGTTGTACAATATTAACCCCATTCTTTGGACTGATTGCTTATCCGCTCGAAACCAAAATTTTTTTTTTAAAAATAATAATTAAAAAAAAAGGAATAAGGAAAAAAGCACTTACCACTGTGCTATCAGCGTAAGCTCGATTAAAGTTTATCATTAATTTCTTAAATTAGTAGCAACTGAGAATCTCTAACAATTACTCAGCACAGAAGGATGCAACTCACAGATGTAGTTAGTAGAGTAGTTATCTAAACAACAGCACCACATAGATTTTTGCTAATTTCCCCAGTTCTGAGTTAGATTCCTGCAGACGATGAAATTTGCTAGTTGGCCGTCGCTTCAAATAAAAACAAATACAAATTGGAACAAAAACAAGCCTTGTGGATTTGCACAACAGGTAGATTTCATTTCGGGAGAGTACTGGGATTAGCACTCCAAACATGTAGAATTTACAAAACTGGCTAAAATTAATAAACAGGAGTCGATGCAACCCACACAAGATTATTCTCTGGGAGAAAATGGCAAATAGGAGAGCCTCCGGGCACAGTTTTCAGGACACGAAATGCTAAATGATTAGGGTCCCAATCCGAGGTATCCATATGACAAACAGCTGCAGCATCCACTCTTCCTCCATTCTCGCCCACAAGCGAAACCTTGAGAAGCTTGTTATCCTTTTTAGTATGGCAGTAGAAGACTGCGTAAGGGTAAGGCAGAACATGACATGCTACCATTCTGGCAGGCGAGATCACTCGGGGTTCATCCTGGATTGTATAGTTCTGCAATATGCTAGAGGTTTGTTCTGTTAGGTGATTCGTAGTTACAACTTTCAGTGGGGCTTTTGATCCCAGGATCTCACGTGCAGAGTCAAGCATGGATTCCAGGGACGTTGCGCAAAACTTGGCGTCCTCTGTTGCTGATTTGAATTCGCAGTGGCTCAGTGTATCTATCATCGCTTTGGCTTGGCGGGAGTCTTGGGAAAAGGAAAAGAGATGGAGAAGATACGGCAGTTGGGACGATGAAAATGGAATGGAATCAGCTTCTTCTCTAGACAGTAGAGGGGGTCTGGCAGAAGGCTCTACGACGGGGAAATAGATTGGAATCCTGTTCCCAAGTTTGATCTGTTTGTCGGTGAAGAAAACCTTTACTGCAAGCTCGTACATATGATCTTTATCCGACGACACAGATGGACTCATTTGATCAAGCTTTTCAGGCACTCCGTTTGCTACATGCTTGCGGCCGGGATTGTCGCTGTCTGGAGCGTAGATTGGAGCATTAAGGTTGTGCCTGGTTGTTTGTAGCATCTCGTGCGTCTCTTTATGATCATGAACATTTAAGGGTTCTTCAGCAATTTTCCTGGCTCTACTGCCACAAACACACTGCAATCGAATTCAAATTGATCAAAGTCATGCACACGCTTCAGATTCTGTAGCAGTATGAGATTCATAGCATAGCAGAAATTAGAACGAGCTGTATTGGTGGTAAGAAGCACTTCTCAACCATCAAATACTTGCAAAGCAATAAAGTAGTAGTAGACTAGTAGTGTTTTGCATGGCAGAAACAGAAAGATTACCTCCAAGACAACTAAAGCGTGAAAGATGAAAATGCAGGAATGGAGTCCAGCGGCCATGTCTGCTTTTCTGTTAAAACTTCCTTTACTTTCTCTGTTGTACTCGTGGAAATGAAATTGTGAAAAGGAAGCGGTACTGCACTGCTAAGTTTTTTCTTTTGACCATTACTTATAAATAAGAAAAATCTTGAAGTTCGTTTAATACTAGTACATCTTCTGCTGACCAATTAAGCCAAAGTGTAAGCTTTAAATTAGTGGGAAAATGGCATGAGCCACATGGCTACTACTAGCTCAAGGCAAACAAGTCGGTGACTCATCATCAGAAGCTTATTTTGCAATTCTTTCACTCCGCTAACCTAGCACTTATAAACCCTAAATCCGGGAGGAAATGACACTTCAGAATGAAATGAGAAATTTTTTTTTTCCCTAGGTAAGTCGGGAGAAACTTATCGGCCAATCGAATAAAAGTTCACCTATAAAGAGTGACTTAAAAGACCTTCTATATCTAAATAATAGATACAAACATGAAAACTTTAAAAAAACCAGGAAGTGATGATCTATCTTATCTTTTAGTTCAAATGCATCGAATGAGTTGAGTTGTATGTTGGATATTGTAAATAAATCTATCTCCGCAATTGTGTCCCTTTCTATGAGCAGGAAACCTGTCCTTACCGCTAGCGGATCAGAAGGGAGCTGATCAAAATTAAATGTTTTCCTTGTTGGTTTTCTTGAATTAAGGTCTCTTTCGGGGGCAAAAGACCAGCGGAACTCTCGTAATAGCAACCTGTAGCTTAGCTCATTCATGATTCAGCCAATGCAATTGTTGAATACCTGATTGATAAAATTTTTTTTTTTGGTTAGGTAACAACAAATCCAAGAAAGTGGACTTTTGGAAAGCATATAAAAGCTGAAGAGATCACACAAAGTATAAAAAAAAGGAGGACACTCTGTCTGGGTTGGAATGCATCTGTAGCGAATTTAGCATTTAGCAGAGCATGCATGAACCTGTCCTACAGCATACATTATTTTATTTTATTTTTATATGGAGTTGACCATTACGGCGACACGTTCAACGATTCTCTAACCGATGGGTGATGTTGGTAGTAACGAACGGAGGTGATGAGAGTTGACCACCGTGGACACGCTTCCGACTTCAATAATTTCTGTGTTCGATCGTACACTACAGCGTAAAATGGAGTCTCAATTCAATTCTGGTACTCGGAATTGTTGCAGGAAAATTAATTCAGCTTCACTCACATGATCATGTCAATACCGGCATCGATGCGTCCAAATTATTGCATTGTACATAAGTTTTTCTTTCTTATTTTGCTTAACGACGTAACTACTACTGCGTGCCCCCTGGGCATAGATCGGCTAGCTTCGGGACAACCCCAGTTGGGACCTGGGTCGTATGGTCGAATCTTGCTCACTACCGCTTCGAGACTCTTGGGGGACGGGGTTTCGGGGTGCAGTGGGGATTAGTCGGGGTGAATCCCGGATACCCCACTGTAATGACCAAAAAAAAAAACATAACTACTACTGCGTCCCTAATAAATATACAATGATGTCATATTGTGTTAGTGATTAGTCATGTTTTAGACTTGAAACGAATAGAAGCTCAAGGCCCTAGGGCTCATCATTCATGCCAGCCCGACAACTAAGACACCATTCATGAATCCTGTAATGAAACCAGTGGTTTTTTTTTTTTTTTTTTTTTTTTGGGAGGAAGAAGAATGAACCGGTGGTTTACTTATTTGTCAACCCCTACCGGTGGTTTACTTATTTGTCAACCCCTACCCCACTCTCTTCCTTCTTCCTTGTAGCTAAGGCCAAACACCGTGGAGTGGAATATTGATGATGGATAGAGTGCATCGATCCAACTGGCAGGCCCCCCTTCCTAGCGGGGTGTGATGGAGGCAGGCACGAGCGCCAGGAGTGGATTGTCTACCATGCAATTGCAGATTGGCGAATCAGATCGAGCTATGACAATATTGGCCTGGTCTCACTCGCTTATTGGAAATTAGTACATTTCTTTTTCTTCTTTTTGTACGTGTGATTGTGGGATGGAGTAAATTTGACATTTTAAGTGGATACCACCTTGTCACGTTAGGATTGTCGTTTTTTACTAAAAGAATATTTAAGACGCATTAGATAAGTCTTGTGCGACGAATAGATATTCCACAAGAGTTTCTAACCCGAATTGATAGGAACGTATGACATCAACTCTACTATCTCAACCAAGTCAACGGACATCTGGGCACTCTTCGGTAACTATTGATCAGCAGTTGAAAACTAAACTGAGGATTTGAACAAGAGATCTTCACTTTATTCCTTGTCCCCCTTGGCCGACAATTGAGGTTCATCCATCCATTTGAACTCTAACGGGCACCTCTCGTTGTGTCTGTGTATTCCATTTCCCCTGTTCTACCATTGTCACCACGCCAACAAACTGATGTACTTCGGTAAAGGTCAGGAACCAAGCTAGCCAATCTCAACTGGGCATCAATCCTAGGACAATTTTCTGCTATAGAGGCTGCAGATTTTCCTCGCACACACTTCGTTGTAACAAATTTTGATTGCATTTTTGCAGGGGGAAAAAGGGCAAAAAAAAAAAAAGAACTTGAACCAACTTCACATAAAATCACAAACGACAGATTGATCGGTGATTACTGATGCAAGGATACAAAATGCTCTGCCTGCCAAAGTCATTGGCATACTTCAACGCTCGTTGAAAACGGATCAGTGGTTGTCGATGTTGTGACTTACATTAATTCAGAGTTGAAATCGAAGGCCGCTTTGCAGTTCGCATTAACGCAAAGTCAAAAGCACTTTTATCTGTCATCACAAAGTCTTTTAGATAAGCATGGCAAATTGATGGAACATCAAATCAAGTCTTACATTCAGAAGTTGCAATTTGCATCCCTTTTTCAATTGGCATAATAGAGTATTTGGTCGTTAATCTCCAATTGGAAGAAATCCCAATAGGCCGTCTTGCAATAAAATTCCCATCCCCACTCGCTCCTAGATGTTTCTGCACCTCAACTCAACTGGCTTCCAATCTTTTACATTTCTGAAAACCAGGGCAGAGTTGTTTTCGGAAGTGCACGTATTACTACGCAATAAACAACACACAACATTGGTGCGTGATATGGTCCTTTGATTGCCCTCAAAAAAAAAGAAAAAAAGAAAAAAAAGGTCCTTCGATTATTAATTACTAAAACAGAGAATAATGTGATCTCTGGTCTCACTAAAGTCCAGCGTCTGTGACCCGGATGCGGGCGCCCACCGACAAGGCTTCTCTTGACCTTAAATTGTTCTCCCCTTCGAAGTCAACTCGAACCTACTGATCCATGCCTCGTCTGGCTATGCATTAAGTACACCTTTTTCGACGGACAAATGAGAATTCAACATCTGGTTTGGTGCAATCAAGTACTGCTGAAATTCTTGGCGCCCCCAAATATTTTGTAGATTTGATTTAAACACTAGTACTGTCGATCTAGATAAATAGGAAGATGACAAAGGACTAAAGCTCAGCTACAGTTCCGGATAATTTGTAGGTTGACTAAACGACATACGCTATGGGTCCCCAACGCGTTGACTCTTAATTTGTCATTGATAATTCAAATAAAAAAAAAGTAGAAGTTATATAAAAAGAAGAAAAAAAAAAGCACTACTTAAATAGTTTGCATTGTATGACATACTAGTGACAGAAAATGATGTATGAGTCCATACATGATATATTTCTCTCAAAACTTGCACCGCTAGCTGTTAAGACTGAGAGAAGCTAATTAATAACGTTGAATCGATGGATAATATATAGTACATTTTCTTACGAGTGTCAAAGATCGATCAGCATTATATGCTTCCATTCCCCAGCTGTAGCTCAGGGATTTGCGTTGACTCTCTGTAAATCCCAAAAACAAAAAAAAAAAATCTGTGATTAATTACGGCCGGAAAGGCTAACTAACTAGGGAGTTAGGAGGGCATGCAGCATTTGCGTTCGAGGTTTTGTGCTGTGAACAATAAGATGCCTGCCATTGGCTACATTCCCCAGTCGAAACGAAAGACAGCCTGATTTCAATTTTCAAAGAGAATATGCTGCTGCCAAAGCCTGGTAACTGGTAATGAACGGTTATGTTAATCTGGGTGATGCACAGAAATCAACCAACAAATGTACGCAGGAAACAAGATATATTATTATTATTACCTTCCTGAGGTCGAAAGAAGACTCTAGTTTACCTTGCAGGCAAAAACACACAACTTTAAATCCTGTTAATGTGTCTTTCATGTATAGCCTTAACTGCTAGTATTTAATTCAAAGCAACTGTGAAGAAAAAAGAGGAGGAGAAGAAGAAACTAATTAGAAAAGATCCTTCTCCATTGCAGCTGATTACCAGGAATTTCAAAGGAAGGGGGAAAAGAAAAGAAAAGAAAAGATCAGGCGATTAACCTTGGCAATTGACTGTAAGTATATTTAATCTGTACCAGTTAACATCCACGTCCTAAGGACAAGTGGCTAAGCAATTATTAAGGAGGGACGTGGTTTGTTCTGCTTTTGATGATCTATTCAAATCGTTTAGTTTAAGAAGGGTCCAGGCTCGAAGAAGCTGCCGATTTGGCGTTGACCAACCACGATCCTGTATTATGTTAAAGAGTATATCTTTTTCCCCTTCTGGGGCGTGAAACAAGTCTGTACTACTTCTTGGTATAGCAACTACTGTGCATGCATTCTCTTCTGCCAATATTACGTAATGATCATGCTACATGTGGTCATGTGTTAATTAACCTGGACCACGAAGCACCCAATCGCCCCCGCCCAACCCATTTTGCTAAAGAAATAGTGGTGGTATTGAACTCAAATCTTGTGGTGAAGTACTATATATACAAAAGTCAGAGGAGCACAGTTTCCTTCCCCCAGATAAGTTGCAAAACAAGACTAGTAATTCAACTAGTATCTTTCCTAACTAATTTGAAGACGGAAAATATGAGATCTTGCTTAGTGATCCTCCTCTTCTTCTCAGTTGTTTCGGTAAGTGATTTGCTCTCCCTTTCACCATATATGCTTCCGTACTTTCTCTTTAACAAAAAAACATGCATCTACTCAATAGTACTTGTTCCTCGATTGTGCAAGTGTGATCAGGTTTCTTGTGATTTGTTACCCTCAAGAATCTACCACTGCACTACTAAGATCTTCTTAATTGTACATGATCATCAGCTTGTGTGTATTAGCGAGGCAGCAAGACACGGACCAGAGGATTACTGGAAGAAGATCATGCAAGATGAACAGATGCCTAAAGCACTCACAGACCTCTTCCATGAAGATTCATCAAGATCAGATGATCATCATCATCGCCGCCACTCCGATATCAACGTCCAGAAGCAGCCTGAGACTTTGAACATGAAGCGTTTCCTCACAAACTTTGATACGGCTCCCAATCTCATAATCTATCAAAACAAGGTTGTCATCCATTGATTAACGAAGCTCATCATTGTCGTCATCGTCATCGTCATCATATATGGGGCGAGATATTAGTATTACTTTTGGGCTATTACGCGCATATGTAGATTAGCAGCAAGTCAGGGCATTGTATATCTATTGCTGTAATGAAATCTAGGGTACGTATAGGATGAGTGTACAAGTATTAGGACAGCAACAGATAAAGAAGAGCGGCCATGTAGCCAGATTTTTTCGTTGCTTGCAGTGAATTTGTTATATATATTATCAACGTTCATCAATCGTCCTAATATGTTTCCCCTTGTACGTACTCTAGACTCATTTCTGTAGTTAAGAACGTTTAGCTTTTAGTGCACTGAGCTAATTCATCTACTACTTACTAATGGTTAGTCAGGGGACAAGTGCAGGTGCTATGTTCAAAGATGCAAAGCCAAATCTAAGTCGAACTAATTGAGATGTTCAGAAAATACGGTCAACTATGTCAATCTGTTTTGCTATCCTTGCAATTTATGTACATGTGTTTGTCTGGCTTGTGGCAAAGTAGAAAAATGCTGTGATTTTGATTCCGAAAATGCCTGCTCAACCTTCTGACTAGAACTTGGGAGAAAAGCATTAGCAGAATTACGTTGTAAGGTTCACCCAACCTCAATAACTTCAATGGTGTGTTTGGATGGATTTGGATTTCAACTGTCCATCCAAATCCCCTAAGTTTTTTGGTCTGTCGAAGGTTAAATAAATGCATTTTAAATCCAGTCAAGTTGAGATACTTAGTTATTTGACACTTCAACATCACTCTTCTCAAGTTGGATTTAGCTCCTCTTCAGTGGATATCCTCTCCATTTCCCACACTGCACGATTGGATGTACGATATGTGTTTTCATTTACTAGCAAGTGATATGATCGCCTTAAATTTGACTAATTCTAACCTTTTTCGAGCTATCCAGGTATTTTTTTTATGGGGTGAAGAACAGGCGGCGGTGACATTGTGGCCGCTGCTGCCGCCCCTGCGGCCTGCCGCTGCTGATGTCGTCGAGAAAAGAAACAGGTTCAGGCTTCAGTGTGCATTCTGTTGTGGGTTGAAGACTCTATATGGGTGAATTTGCGTGCGTGAGAGAGGCTTTTCTTCGCTGCCAACAGATAAGAAACGAGAACCAGAAGACTTGAGAGGAAAAAGGAGAATCGAAACTTCAATGTTTGACCCCTAAATTTTTCTGTTTTTGTTTCTTCCCCAAATTTTCTTTTAATTGCACTCTCTTTAGCGTATAGTAAGTTTTAGTCAAATTAAGGTACTCGGTGGACGCACATCTCCATAACTTCCCCAGAAGCAATATGAAAACATCTGAAGCGTCTGACCATCATCGGCCTCTGGGGCAAGTAGATTGTTCCTGTATTGACTTCCACCAATTTCTTTTCAAAAAAAATTCCAAAGATGATTACTCTCCACATAACTACAACAGTTAAAATCATCCAGGAGGACCAGGATCAAGAGCTATGGAGTTAAATTCCCAAAAAAAGGGGGGGGGGGGCTTCAATTGGAGATTTCTCGTACATTAATTAGAGAAAATAAATTGAGATTTGCTCATAATGTCTAGTTTAAACTGCTGGTAATCTTGGTCGCCAAGATTATCTCTGGATATTCAGCCGTGTGCCAGATTTCCATTCCTTACCTGTGTTTCCATTCCTTATCTGTATTTGATATTCACGTGGATTCTTTCCCCCCGATGAAAACGTGCCTGGTGTAAAACCAAAATCTTTCTGCTAGCTTCTTTCATCCATTGAATGAAATAGTAAAATTAGTACGCACTATAAGTGCCTGGATTGTTACAATTGACGGCATTAATTTCTTTTGGATCTTTCAAATGAATGGCATTTATTGTCTTTCCAATTACAACGACTGCTAGAATAGAAGTAGAACCCATTCTCATCTTCTACTCAATTAGCAGCCAAAATCCTTAGGCCGGTGAGCCTTTAAATTTTCTCTATCTCGTAAACTAGGTTTCAAGAATAGCGACCCTAATTTGCCTTCAGAAGCAAAACAGGATCAAGTTAAGACATGACGACGAGACATCTCTGTGCCACCCCGGTTCTTCTTCTGACTTTCTTTTTGGTATGCATCTTAATCCTACCCATCACTGGCTAGGCACCCCAAGCTTTTTAATAATTCTTTTGAGATCTTCTACACGATCATCTCTGGATGGATATGCTAGTGTCTTCTTTTGTTAGCAGCATGACCTGTAAGCTTTTTCTTTGTTGTCTTGTGTGTTCTGTCTCAGGTTATCAGCAATACTACTCTCAGCACTGCAAGAAAGGACCCACAGGAGTACTGGAACACCGTCATGAAAGGGGAGGCCATGCCCCAAGTGGTTAAGGCCCTCCTTCCTCAGACTGCTGAATCTCACTCTGACCAACACCAATTCGTCAAGAATTTTGATGCTAAGGCAAACGTTATAATCTATCATACCGGTCAAGTTGATCATCCAGGAGAGAAATCTCCTGTCAAAGAAGTAGATGTTTCTGTATTTGAAAGAGCTGAAGCAACAGCTAATTAATTAGTCTCCTTGAGCGGTGTATGTATGCACAAGATGAATGAAAATTAGTAGTTTACGTAGACTTCAATAAGAAGATGGAAGCAATAGTCTGTTAAACCTATGCAACTGCCCGGAAAAACCATGATCAACTGGTTGTCCCTTGAAAATTTTGATTATCCAATCCGATTAAACCCGCTCTCTTGACTCTGCGACGTCTCTTTTCTTTTTTCTTTTTCACGATGTTTAACTGGTTTATCATCTGTTGCTTGAAATTGATCATATTTAGCGTAACATAGGAGCTTTGGCGTCCTCAAGCTTTAGCTCCAGTTTGCTGGTTAAGGTTTCCAAATTGAGATTGCATAGCATGATGACTTTGCTTTTAAAATTCCTCTCGTGGAATTCCTCGTTCTGGGCAACTTCTCGTTTAAAATCTAGCCTCAAAAAGACAAATGCATCTGCTTTTCTCCATCATATCCATCTGTTTCTACATTTTACGTCATGCTAGCCGAATTGAAGCTTAACAGGACTAGACTTTGAGTTTGTAAATTAAATCTTTCTCGCATCGCAGCCAAACAAATTATAACACCACACCACAAACAGCTTTAGCACAACTTCTGGACTAAACTGAAGCAGATGGAACCAACACAAGGTGATTTGCAGCAAAGAAATGACAAACAGGTGAGCTTCCTGGTTCAATTCCAAGCACACGGAAGGCAATGTGATCAGGGCTCCAGTGAGAGGTATCCATGTGACAAACAGCAATAGCTTCAACCCTATCACCATTTTCACCATTCAGGGAAACTTTGTAAACGCGACTCTCACTTTCTTAATAGTGACAATAGAAAACTGTGCAAGGGTAAGGCAAGGTATGACATGCCACCATCTTTGGCGCTGAAATTCGTACAGGAACTTTAACCATGCGTACTTCTGTACACCGACAGTTGATCTCGTGAGGTGAACTGCTGACGGAACTTTAGCAGTTGCTTGGAACCCAAATGTCCCTTTGGCAAAATTAAGCATGGACTCGGAGGATGTAGCACAAAATTTCGTCTCTGATTTAATGGGCTTAGCTTCACATTTTCTTAGCGTATCTTCCATGGCCTTGGCCTGGAGAGATTCTTGAGAGAGAGGAGGAAAAAGGAATTTGGTCTGCTTTATATATATACACAGCATAAAACTCTTTCCGCTCGTACACTCTAACTCCCATTATATCTATCATCTAAGTTTTTTTTTTTTTTTTTTTGTAATAATGCAAGTGGAAGGGCTCAACTCAAGACCTTTTACTTACACTCCTATCCCCCAACCACCCAATTTATATCAATATATGCATATTGAAAAGGTGCTTTTAAGACTTATCAATTACTCGTATTTAAAAGATAAAAAGACCTATGGTACTTTTTAGAAGAATCAAGGTAATCTTTTGTTTTGTTGGGTAAACTATAGATAATCCCTATGTGATTTCACATATTGCGACATGATTTCCGTAAATGTTTCAAAATATCCACTCCATCCCCTATGATTTCATATAGAGTGAAAACATGATTTAGAATAGCCTAAGTAATATTATTAGTTAAAATATCAATAATACCCTTGGTTAAATGACATAAGACCATAAGCAGATTATATGGATAAACACAAAAACAGAGGGGAATAAAGTGGATAGGCATACAAATCGTAGGGAGATTAAGTGGATATTATAGTTCTATCACATGCACTTTTAGATCGCATCTAGTTCAATTGTCGTAACGATGGTGTATTTTGTCCATTTTTCACTTTATATAAAAATATAGGGGGATTTGACATTATGCACAATCACAAGGGAGTTATATGTAATTTAATCTTTTTGTTTTCATATTTGAAGTACTCTATAAACTTGGATATTTTGTAAATAAAATTTGTTCTCCTTTTTTTTTTGGGTTTAATTCACCATTACTCAAAAGGATATTTTGTCCTTTTTTTGATATAATTTACTACAGCTCAAGGGAATTTCATTTTTGTAGCAATTAGCACAATTCCTATTAATTATTAAGGAAATCAATGTTTGTTTGAATATCAAAATTTTTCAAATAATATTTGGTTTGCATCATAAACACATTTTTCTACCCACCTTTTTATATTTCCAAACACTTTTTTATCTCACATACATCACATTACAAAAAGTGCTACAGTAATTATTCCAAATAATACTCTATCCAAACAAACCCATTTTGCAATTTGTCCATTTATTGGTGTTGAGAGTAGTTTAGATATTACAAAAACTAACACCAACTTCTGCTTACATTTTTAACCACCAAAACTCATCGTAATTTTTAACGGTAGTAGATAGATAGATAGATTGGTACCTCATGGTTTTCTTATCATGTTCAAGTCATAGTTTCCATGGTTATTTTTTTCTTGTAGAGAAAACCTTGAATATTTGGTAATGTTACAACTATAGCCCACACTCATTGCTCTATCGAGCTGTGTTTCAATGGTGAAAAAGATGTTCTGAATCTTCTGATTAGGGATGGCAACGGAGCGGGGTTGGGGCGGGGGACCCCTCCCCCGCCCCCCGCCCCGTTGCCTATTAGTTCCCCCCGCCCCGCCCCGCCTTGCCCCGCTTCCCTCGCGGGGTTAATAAAATTTTATTATATAATTTTATTATAATTAAATTTTAATAAATAATCAAGTACTAAAATATCAACACATCACCAAATTATTATTCATTGTAATTTTACAATTGAAACTCATAAAAACAATCAAACAAAAGTTATTTGAATACAATCCAATATGATGAAATAAATATAACTAAAATAGTCAAGTTTTCACTTTTAGTACAAATGCAATCACTAATTCTTTATTGTGTTTGTGCTTTTTTTTGAGAAAAAAGTGTTATTCTATTAAGTGTAATTAGAAATTTAGTATAAATGTATTAGTAAATTTAATATAACTAATTAATAAATTCTATTAGTAGACATGCATAATTATTCATATAATTGATAATGTCAATTATATTACATAAACTAATATACATTATATAATACATCTAACTAATAATATCATTATCATAAGTTTATAACTAATTAACTTACATATTATATATATTTATATATATATATATAATTTTTTTTTTGTTTTGCGGGTGGCGGGGTGGGGGATGGGGCGGGGGTATACTCCCCCGCCCCCCGCCCCGTTTCTAAGCGGGGGGAATTGAAATAATTCCCCCCGCCCCCGCCCCGAGAGCCCCCGCGGGTAGCCGCCCCCATTGACATCCCATTGCCATCCCTACTTCTGATCTCTTTTGTGATTCTTTAATTGCCAACTTACCACGTGCTTTTATTGCTTTTATCGAAGTCTTGCCAAGCCAACCGTGCATTATTGGGCTCTAATTGAGTCATCCATGCAGACCCAATTAACAAAGCCCAACGCGGGTACCCCATAGAATTGGTCGTGTTATCTTGTCGAACGGAGAAAATTTATTTAAGAGGTAACCGAGGAAACGTCCGTGAAGCCTCCAAACCAAAGGAAAAAGAAAAGAGACTCTCCTGATTGTCAACCCTCAATCAACAACCGCGTACAAATTCACAAACCACATATTTCAAGATTTCATGATTCTTCAGGAATTGGAATTGGGATGCATAAATATCCCACTAATCATTTCATTGATTTCCAACGGACATTTTGGCAACAAGAGGACTCTAAAGAGAACTTAATAGACGAGGAATGAAGAACAGATGCATAGATGTCTAGAGTTTACGACAACTGGGAAAGGCTGGTCAGAGCCACTCTGCGCAGAGAGGAGCTGAAGCTCAGCGGTCAAAGGACCCCAAGTGAACTTTCCTTGGCATCATTATCAGCATCTTCCTCCTTTAGCTTCACTGCTTCCTCTGCCCGAATTTCATCTTTCAACTTCTCCAGCTTCTTAGCGGGTGAATCGTTTTCCTATCATCAAATTCTCCTCGCTACCGATTATTTTAATGAATCCTCCAATCTCATCAAGCATGGCCATTCCGGGGATCTCTTTTATGGAACTTTACAAGGCGGGACTCCAGTTGTTGTGAAGAAAATTGATCTTTCCTTGGTGAAGAATGAATCCTATTTCGTAGAGCAACTGGAAATTTTCGGCAAGCTTTCGCATTCCAGATTGGTACCGTTGTTGGGGCACTGTTTGGATCAGGGGGATGACAAGTTCCTGGTTTACAAGTACATGTCTAACAAGGACTTGTCCACTTCGTTAATTTTGGAACTTGATTCGGAAGATGATGACCTGCTATTACCGACATTAGATTGGAAAACCAGGCTGAAGATTGCAACTGGAGTTGCAGAGGCTCTGTTTTATCTGCATCATCAATGCATTCCACCTCTTGTTCACAGGTTTCCCCCAATTCCCAAGACTTGCTCACTTTGAACAGTTTCTTTGATTATAGCCAGAGTAATTGAGTGATGGATGGTACTGATCATTTGGCATAATTCTACTCCTTTTGGTCTTTGAAGGGATATTCAAGCTAGCAGCATACTTCTTGACGATAACTTTGAGATTTGTCTAGGAAGCCTGACTGAGGTTTGTACAGCTCAAGTAAAAGACGGTAATCAAAACAGAATTGCCAGGTTCCTGCGGCTGCCAAAGTAATTACTAATATTTTTTTTCTTCAAAAAAAATTTGTGGTTCTTTATATTCTTATTTATACATTTCTCTCAAGTATTCTCGCTTTAATTTGCACAATGTGGCCATAATCCAGTATTCTTGAAGGTTAGAATCAGAATAAGTTGTTCAGGAGAGTTAAGAATGAGGCTTGTTTACACTATTAGGAGGTATTGTGATTGACTTTAAATGTCACGATTTCTGGATTCTGATAAAGACCTTCAGCCTGTGTTCATCTGCATTGACAAATGACTTCCCTCTGTGGGATTGAAATTCCAAAATAAACCTAAGCTTGACAACCTATCTTTCCGTTTTGTCTGCAATACAAAACTATTTCCTCTTTTACCTTATTCGCTGTCCTTAATTCAGTACTTGCTTTTGTAGTTCTGTTATTGTTCTGGAGGCTTCTTGACGATCTATTTTCTTTATGCGCAGGGGAGCTGCACAAGGAACTTCTGGTGTGTCCCTTTGACTTTACACTCTGAGTTGTAAAATTTGGATTTGTCCATCTTCAAATTAGGATTTGTTACCAATCAAAGATGGCAAAATTTGCTTTAAATCTTCACATTCTGGCC